TTTACTCTCAGGCTTGTAGTGATGAAACCATGTTTAGTCACCAGTAACAATTTATTTTATGAAACTTACCTTCCTTCAAGTATTGGTCCAAATTTTGTTTGCAGATGTCCAAATGCTTATGTTTATGCTGTGTCATGAGCTTTTTTGGTATCTATCTCATACCAACTTTTGAAACTGAAGTCTGTAGTAGATTATTTCATAGGCAGAGCCATGACTGATTTGAAAATGATTTGACACATAATCCACTGTCACTCTTCTATTTGGCAGAATCATTTCACGTGCACACTCAATATTTTAATCAACCATGGATGTGGACGTGGACGGGTGCTTTAATATAACCAGAGTGCAGATAATTTTTTATTTACTCTTGTATATACACAAGGAAGCTTCAAAAGTTAAATATGCTTGATATTAATTAGTCCAATGGACTAATGGAACATGTGAACATCAGTCTCCTTGACTCTAAGACTAGAAGAACTAAGTGGTGCCCAGATACCACTACAACTTCTCTGTAAAGGGTCAACATTAGAAGGTCCTGGATAGAGAGGGAGAAAATGTGGAACAAAACTCAAAATTATATAAAAGACAGGTCCTAAGTGGTCAGAAAGGGACTTGAGAAACAGAAGACTATGCCCAGTCAAGTTGACACAAAATCTTAACTATCTGCATACCAATGTTCATCACAGCACTACTCACAATAGCAAAACTATGGAGACAGCCTAAGTGCCCAACAATGGAAGAATAGTTCAACAAACTTTAGTACATACACATATGCAACCTTGAGGAATAACGATGAATCTGCAAACAACTCATGACATGGATGAACCTTGAGGGCATTATGCTGAGTGAAATTAGTCAATCACAAAAGGACAAATATTGCATGGGACTATTATTGTAAAAAGAGCTCTGGTAGCATAGTGGTTATGAATCAGGCCGCGAACTGCAAGGTCAGCAGTTCGAAACTACCAGCTGTTCCATGGGAGAAAGATGAGGCTTTCTGCTCCCATAAAGATTTACAGCCTCGGAAACCCTGTACAGGTCACTATGAGTTGAAACTGACTCCACGGCACATAACAACAACAACAACATTACTGTAAAAGCTTAAGAAAGATTTTCATACTAAAAGAAACATTCTTTGATGATGGGAGGGAGTGGAGAGTAATTCACAGGTTAGAGGGTAGACATTAGCTTGGGTGATGGGGAAGGCAATACACAAGTAGAGGGAGTGTGTAGATAAGCAATGAAGATGGAGAAGACTTAGGGAGGTATGCATAGCCTAAATGGGATAGAGGTAAATAGTGATTTATACACAACTTTGGAATAACAGTGTTCTGTGATACAGGGATTGAGACCTAGTCTGAATGGGCAACGGAAGGGAAAATTTTTTTAGGTGTTTGACTGTCTTGGTTTCCTCTGACTACTATTGTAAAATAGACATTTAAGTTTGCTGTAAATGAATATTGGGAATTATGATTACAGAAAACTTGTAAGCCCATCTTCAGCCTTTAACTGATTGGATTTGTTAAAAGGGGAATTAGAATTTGCCCAGGGAAATAGGTTTCTCGTCAAGCCTTTGTAGAGTATAGGGCCTTAGGTGGAATCCTGAGCCCACCCAGAACTTTCTGAGTTGGAAGATTCCCACTTGAAAAGATATGCAGACTAACCCAGAACTGCTGAGATAACAGAAGAATCTTAGTGAAATAAAGACCTGCAGGAAAAAAATGTAGACTGGCTGTTATAATATCAAGCAACCTATTTACTTTGGAAGGACCAAGGCAATAAAATCAGCCTATCTGGGAAAAGCCCCTTCTAAAACTGAAACTCAAAGGGAATACACACATAGTCTAGTATACTTGCTGGTGACCACCTGAGTGTACTTTTGAGTGGAAGGGAGGGAAATGCAGCGATGAAGACATGAGCTGAGTTTGGCCATGTTCCATTGACATGTGTTGACTTTGAGATGAGAGAGAAGAGGAAGACTTGAGCTCATGGAAGGTAGAGCAGAGAATGAAGCAACCAGCTGGTCTGAAGTGCAGGGAGGTGTATGTAAACTTCCAAACTTGCAGCTAGTACCCATTATACCTAGGTTGGATGGCTAGTTGACCAGAACTTGACCAGATAAAGATAAGGATGCTTGATACTGTGAGCAAGTGTTAATTGCTGCAATTTGATAAATTGGACCTTTGCTGATAGATGCAGTTGCTCAAAATTTCTATTGGAATTGAAGGACTCTTCATATCAATGAACAAGTTTGTTTCCTAAGTGAATTGGGTTGAAAGGGGCAGGCGATCTAGACATTGGCTATCAAAAATGGGGGGCTATAAAGGCATGAAGTGTCTGGCTTACAAGCTTTCATGAGTATACTTAGTTTCAGAATGTAAGATTGTAAGGTAGAATCCCCACTGAATTGTTGCACTCTTTTCCAGATGGATCTGGTGAAAGAGAATGGGAGATGATTCTAATAGGATTTTATCATTCAATTGTGAATAATTGTTAGCAGGATTAATTGTGATTGGCACAACTGCAAATGTAGAGGATGTGTAACTAAAAGGGAGGAGTAGCTAATTTTTCATTTCAGGAACAGATGAAACCGGGACCATTAAGAAGAAGGACTATGAGTGGAGTGTGAGATCTTACCTACAAAAGCAGGGGCAGCAAAGACAGTGCCAGAGGTGATGGCATGCCTCCATCTCAGGCATCACTTCTTCTCTGGGTAGGGTCCCGCTCCCTGCTCTTCTCCTTTAATGGTTCCAGGGACCTCCGCTCCTAGACTGAAAAGTTATTCACTCCCCTCCTTGCTACAAAACATCTAACTTTACATTTCCAACTCTCACAATCAGTCCTAATAACAATTATTCACTACTGTATCTCAAGAGACCTATCTGCATTTCCTTTCATCAACAGATGGATACTACTCATTGGAGATTCTACCTTCCTCCATGCCCTCTGGATCTAGATTCCCTCTTGAAAGCTTGTAAGCCAGTCACTTCTTGCCTTTGAAGTCCCCAATTTTGGGTAGCCAATGTCCAGGTTGCCCATCCCTGTTTACTCTGTGTATGGAGGGGGTGGGAATGATCCTTGTTGTAAAGATTTGTTCCCTCTTTTGAGCTACTGCATTGAGGTGTAGGTCAAGTTCATCAAATTGTATCAGATTACTCTTTTTCCCCCCTTCTTTCTTCTTCTAGTTGAGTACTGATCATCCAGTCATTGAAGCTAGGTCAAGTGGGTATTATATGCAAGTGTGGGTGTTCTTGGGCATATGCCCTTTCTGCTTATCAGCTGGATGATTCATTCTCCACTCTAGTCCTCTGTGGTTATGTCACTGAATCTGGGCCCAAGAGTCCCCAGGTCTTGCCACACTGCTGGACAACCAGGTCTCCACCCGAGTTCACGGGAGTCTATTGAACATTGTAGGGCTTAGCTCGCACCTTCATTGCTGTTTTTCCCTCACTTCCCCTTATTGGTGATGAATGTGGTCATCAATCAAAGCATGTATTCCCCTTGAGTCTTAGTCTTGGAAGGGAGTTTGCTCTGAGGGGACCTGATCACTTGCCTTGATGTCTCCTGGGTGAGCAACTTACTTGTTCTTAATCAGTCTGCCGTTATTGTTTTGTCTTTTTCCTGTAGGTCTTTCTTTCAAGAAGTATCCTTTGTTCTTCTAGCCTCTCCAAACTGGTCTGCTTGTCCTTTCAAGTGGAAATTTCCAACCTCTGAAGATTCTGGATGCTGTTCAGGATTCCACCTATGGTCTTATGTAATGCACAGGCTCAGCAGGAAGCCTCCTTCACTGGGCAGGTTATAGCTCCATTTTAGGTATTCCAATCAGTTATAGGCAGAAGACAGACTTACAAGCGACTTATGGCTATTTTATAATGGTAAGCCAGGGAAACCAAGATTCATAAGACAGGCAAGCATCTTAACATTATTTCCCCCCTTTTCCCCATTCCAACCATGTCTCAATCCCTGTATCCCAGAGCCCTGTTGTTCCAAGGTTGTGCATACATCATTATTTACCTCTGTCCACTTAATTAATATTCTCCTATCTTCTTTGTTCTTCCATTCTCCTCCCCCTTCTTGTATATTGCCCCCTCTCCCTAGCACCCAAACTATCCTGTATCTATTCCCTACCCTGTGCTCCACCTTCCCCTCCCTCCCCTCACCCCACCCCCCACATCCCAGTAGCCAGCAAAGAATTCCTCCCCCTTCCCCCTTTAGTATGGGTTCTTTTTCTTAGTCTTTTACCGTAGTGGTCCTATGCAGTATGATTAAATTAAAAACATTTTTTTTTTTCGGGTTCCAACCTTTAAGGAATCATCCACTTATTTGTCTTGGTGAAAATATACTTCTTCATTTCCAGGTCTACTTATTAAAATTATGCAAGACCTAATTTCTAGGTGTCCTATTCCTAGGGATCTTACTTGTATCCCTAGGAATTCCTTCATTATTTTGTACTTGTCATCTCACTGTTTTCCATGACTTGCAGACTCAAGTCTTCCCAATGGGTTTCTCACGTGATGTGAATGAATTTGGCGGAGACCTGGAGCCTCGGAAGGTTGGTGGTTTCGAACTGCTGACCTTGAAGTTAGCAGCCCAACCCATAACCACTATGCTATCAGAGACGCTATGAACTGAACTCACTGGAAGGCACTTCACAACCAACAACAAAGGAGACTCAGGGCCCGGGCATAATGGATGTTTGGGGTTATTACACTGCATGTGTTTTTGAAGCTGCTGAAAATTCATGAGGAAAGCAGAAAGGCCAGTTTTAACGAGGGGAGACAGTAATTCATAAATATTAATAGAAGCCCACGTGGTCCAAGGAAGGTCAGGAATGCTAATGAGGAGATGACGTCTGGGTCCTTCACGTCCCAGTTAGGGCGGGTGCCTGAGCGCGAACGCATCCAGGGACAAGGCGTGAGCGCGGGGAAGGGGCGGAGAAGGTGGGGTGAAGGCAGGGGGCGCTGCTGAGATGCTCTGGGAGAGCTCGTAGACTGGTTGAATCGCCGCGGCTGCTGCTGTGCTGCACTCCGGCTGGTAGCTGCGGCCCTTGAATGGGGGTGTCGGGCTGACTCCGGGATCCACCTCCCTCTTCCAGGAGCTACACACAGGTGCCATCGCGTGGGGAGACCTTGGAGGAGACCTTAGTCCTCACCCAACTACTGCCAGGGGTGGTGGTTGGACCCGGGTGGGTGAAGGAGGCCCGGGGCTCAGGATTCTCCAGTCGGTGGGGGTAGGAGCGCCGCAGCCCTCACACACAGCCATCCCCATCACATTCCCTGGTTCAGATGAACCCCGGGCTCATCGCCCTCCTGCTCAGTCCTAGGTAGCACGGCGGGTATGAAGCGCCCAGGCCTTGAGATGGGGATGATGGGCACGTCAAGCAGATCTCAAAGCGGCCTGGTGTGTGTGTTGACGGGATCGTGGTGAAGTGGATTGGCACCATATCCCAGGACCCTTATCTGGCTGTATCATTGTTAAACGCCTCAGAATAATTTTGACACGGAGAATTCTGGTCGCCGCCCCACCTGTGCCCCTCACATTCCTGCATTGTCAGAACCGCTGGCAGCTGCCACAGATGCTGGAGGAACAATTGTATTACAATTGGAACCGGTCAGAGAAAGGACGAGAGTGGGGGTGGGGTGGGGACGCTGGGCTCTGAGCCTCTGGAGCTCTGGATGCTGCTCTTGACAGAGCCCTGCTGCGTATCCCAACCCCTCTTCTCTTTTGCTCATCCTTCCCTCCTCACTGCTCAACACCCCTTAACCCCATCTCCACTCTGGGTCTTGTTTGGCCAAAAAGGCAGTCGAGTTTGTTATGCGGCCTGTGCGGGACTACCCTGGCTTCCTTGTATCTCGGAGATCATTGTGCTGCTTGGATGAGACTTTCTTTACTCCCTGACCCACCAGGAAGGTCCGGGGTATGTGTGGTCTGGGATGAAGATGAAAGGATCTGCATTAGGAAGGGGAAGGGAGGAAGTAAGTACTCCGACGGGGTTGCTGACTGACGCATGCAATGAAATCCTTCCTTTTATGTGAAAACGTGAAGCTGTCACCAACTTGTACACTGACTGGATTTTGTAGAGCAATGGGAAATCTGAAGGTGGGTCACTGGAGGGCAGGCTTTAGAGAAAAAACTGAGAGGGAGCACAGAATCAACTGATCCATGGGAGTATGGAAAGAAGGGCGATTATGAGTTGGCAGAGGTCTATCAAGAGGAAGCCTGGTGAAATCTGTGCTGTACTCTGCTCAGAGGAGCAAGCACTGGTAATCTGTACTGCAGCCTCAAGCTGCAGTTAGTGTATCATTATGCTGCAGGGAGAGGTTTAGGTATTTTGACTGAGTCTGTCTTTTCTAATTACACCAGCTATTGGAAGTAAACATTAATAGAATAGATTATAGGGCATAATCAAACTCTAGAGCCTGCATATTCTCATGGTTCCTTCTTTTTGTCATTTATCATGTATCAATTTTTCAAAATTGATTTTTGAAGTATGGAGAAAAAGAATAAAACCGTTTCTTGTATTAATCCTTGCTTTTAAAGGAAGGAGGCCTCTGAGATGAACTGAAAATAGAGTGGGGAAAGCTTGTCAGGATGGAAAAATAGAAGGCGGGTTCGGAAAATTTAGGGGGCTTGGGTAGGAACTACAAAGGCAGGCTGCCAAGAGAGAACAAAAGCAGGTAGGTTAAAGTGAGGCTTGGTTGGTAGGCTTGAAGCCCAATCCAGAGACCCTACTTTGAGGTTATGGCAAAGCCCATGAGAACACTTGGACACTTGGCCCTCCTTAATACTACTTCAGCCTTGTGTCTTTCTACAAATGTTTGGGTGTGCAGTGGTTTCATACTCCTTACAGTTCTAGCTTAATCTCCATCTGTTCTTTCACCAAGTACTTTTTGGCTCCTAGGTAAAGAGCTGACAAAAAGCAATCTGGCTATATTATGGATTGTTTCAAATGGTCATGTTTCTGAACTCTACCCATCCATGTACTAAGCCCACTGCCACTGAGTCAGTTCCAACCTATAGTGACCCTATAGGACAGAGTAGAACTGTCCTAGGGTTTCCAGGGCTGTACTCCTGATGTGGCATTGTAGGATCAGCAGTATTGTGTTATTTATGTCTTCTTTTATAATTGTCTAGATGAATCAATTATATCTAGAGATTGCCTGGTCTGATGGTAGGTGTTTTCAGCATGATGTCCTTTTCAAGGGGCTGGTTCCTCCTGATAACATGTCCAAAGAATGAGAGAATGAAGTCTTGCCATCTTTGCTTCTAAGGAGCATTCTGGCTATATTTCTTACAATACGTATTTGTTTGTTTTTCTGATTGTCCATGGTACTTTGAATATTTTTCACAAATAACACAATTCAAATGCATTTGTTCTTCTCCAGTCTTCTTTATTCATTGCCCAGCTTTCATATGCATATGAGGAAATTGAAAATACTATGGCCTGGGTCAAGCACACCTTAGTCCTCAAAATGACCCTTTAGAGAGGTCTTGTGCAGCAGCTTTGCCCAATGTAATATGTTGTTTGATTTCTTGACTGCTGCTTCCATGAGCATTGATTGCGGATCCAAGTAAAATAAAATCCTTGCCAACCAATTTGTCTCCATCTATTATGATGTTGTTTATTGGTCCAGTTATGAGTATCTTGTTTTTCTTTACACTGAGTGGTAAAGGCTGAATTCTTTGATCTTTATGAGCAAGTGCTTTAAGTCCTCTTTACTTTCAGCAAGCAAGGTTGTGTTATTTGTATATCGCAGTTACTGAGTGTTTTTTAAAAACCTTTTATTGTGAATTGAGTGATAGTTTATATGGGAGAACATTGGTTTTACACTCATCATACCATATTTTGTTTCATTACAATGATTACAATACCCTCCATGCGTCATCATTCAACAGTATTTGCTTCTATTTCCTCTGTTGTTGTTTTTTTTTTTAAATGTACACAAAAACACCCAGGAATATATAATCATTTAAACAACCAAAGGGCACATTCTACAAGCCTGCCCCCTGGCCACCAGCACACAACCTTTAGCTTTCCATAAGTCTATAGTCCTCAACTGCTGTATCTCTCCATGTCATCATTTCTGCCTTCATCACTGGTGTTGCTACTTCTCTAGATAGGGTCCCACATTCTGCTGTGCTCTTCTCCCTTGATGGTTCTAGGGTCCACTGTTCCTGGAATGTAAGAATAAGTTGTTGTTGTTAAGTGCAGTCGAGTTGATTCCGACCCATAGCAATCCTGTATAGGGTTTCCAAGGAGCAGCTGGTGAACTTGAACCACTGACCTTGCAATTCAAACGACTTTGCAGTCTGACGCATTAGCCCACAGTGCCACACCAGGACTTCCCCTTTTTGTTACAAAACTTCTACCTTTACAGTTGCAACAGTCGCAATTAGTCATGATAACAATTGCTCACTATTGAATCATAACAATCTTATCCCCATCTCCTTTCACCAGTCCTATCTAGACAAGATGAAAACTATTCAGTGGGGATTCTACCTTCCCCTGCATACTCTGAAACTAAACTCCCTCTTGAAAACTTGTAAACCAGTCACTTTGTGCTCTTATAACCCTCCCCACCCATTTTAGGTAGCCAATGTCTAAGTTGCCTATCCCTATCAACCCTGTATATAAAGGGGATAGGTTTGATCCTTGATATGAAGACTCCTCCCCTCTCAGTTGGTATTTGGAACTACGAAACTACCAGCTGCTCCGCGGGAGAAAGATGAGGCTTTCTACTCCCGTAAAGATTTACACCCTCGGAAACCCTGTACAGGGTCGCTATGGGTCGGAACCGACTCAACGGCACTTAACAACAACAACAACAACATATCCATAAATATAGGCCAAGTTCATAAAATTGTAGCAATTTACACTTGTTTCCTTTATCAAATTTCTTTGTCTTCCTCTAGTCGACTTCTGATCATCCAGTCTTCAAAGGTAGGTCAAGTGGGTACTATCTGCAAGTATGGGCATTCTTGTGCGTCCCCCCTCACTTCATATCAGCTGAATACGTCATTCTCAGCTCTAGCCATCCATGGCTAGGTCCTTGTCCACGGGCTTAGGAGTTCCCAGCTCTCATCACACTTTGGACCAACCAGCCCTTCCTCTAGTCTCACTCTCATCTCAAGGTTGACAGGAGTCTATGGAACATGGTTGAACTCAGCCCATATCTTCATTGCTGCCTTTCCCCCAATTCCACTCACCAGTAGACCAATGTGCTTGCCAGCAAGATTACATGCCTTCTCATGTGTTCCCTTTGAGTTTCAGTGTTGGAGGGGGGTCTGTCCTGAAGGGACTTGATAGTTAGCCTTGATAGCGCCCTGGCAAACAGACTGTCGTTTTTGTTTTGGATTTTTCCTGCTGGTCTTTCTTTCAAGAAGTATCTTCTGTTGCTCTAACCACTCTAGGCTGGTCTGCATGTCCTTTCAGGTGGGAATGTCCCACCTCAGAAAGTTCTGGATGGGGCTCAGATTATTTCACTGGGCAAGTTCTAGAATCCCCTTTAAGTATTCCCATCAGTCATAGATGTAAGGTGGGCTTACAAGCTTTCTGTAATCATGTTTCCTGATATTCCTTTCTATCTCACTCAAGTGTCTGTTTTACAATAGTAGACAAGGGAAACCAATATTCATAAGACAGTCAAGCATCTTAACATTATTTCTCCTCTCCGTTCAGACTATGCCTCAATTCCTGTATCACAGAACCCTGCTCTTCAAAGGTTGAGCGTACATCACTATTTACCTCTGTCCCATTTAGCCCATGCAAACCTGTCTTAGTGTTCCCCTATCTCCCTTGTTCTTTCACCTCCTCTTTCTTCTTGTGTATTGCCTCCCTTTGAAGTGGTTAAACATTAATCATTTTTGTTTGGTATAGTGACTCTGAGTATTCTTTCCAATAAATTCTGTATCATTCAATGTTTTTCTCATAGAATTCTTCAACATGCCTCAGTGTTTCCCTGTCTACCTTGTTCTTCCATCCCCCCCACCCCTTCTTGTGTATTGCCCTCCCCAACACCCAAACTATGATGTGTCTATCCTCTAACCTATACTCTACTGTCTCTTCCCTCCACCCCTGGTAACCAACAAAGAATTTTTTTTTCTTTTA